AGAGTAGCAGTCCATCCTGAGGGATCAGTGGAAAGTGAAAGAGTGGCGTCAACAAAAGTTGGTTTCTGTTCTGGGCCCTGGGGGTCTTTGCTGCTGCTCTCAGTGTCTAATAATAACTTTATTTATACAGAACTTTTCTTAACAATATTTAAAAAGTTTTTTTTTAATTTAAAAACAAAAATAAAAATGTGTCAAAAGGTGCAACAGACAGTGACTTTAGGGGGCGTGGCCTCGACCGCAGTTATTGACAGACTGACCACGGCAGCGTAGCAGCAACAGCGAGCTGGTAGTCAGAGCTAACAGAGCTAACAATGCTAATAAGCTAATGAGCAGCTGCTGTCAGACTCTGTGAACACAGAACCGGAGTTTTTAGTCACTAGAAGCACATTCACGCTGTTTGTACAAGTTTCTGTGTGTAACCTGTTTGTAGCTAAACTAGCGGCTCAGAGAGGCTAATCTCTCTCCGGTATGTGTGTGTGTCTGTGGGGGGGGGGCTGTCAGCGTGCGATCAAGGTAAAGATCGCAGTCCGGTGCTTCTACAGCGTCTCAAGTCCGAACCCCTGCGCCACAATATAAACATAGTGAGTAGAGGGTTAGCAACAGCTAGCATTACCTCCTGTGAATGATGAGTCACCATCAGGGTGCATTTGAAAATGAGCGGTTTCACAAACTCCAACTAATCACTGATTAGAGGATACTATTATATTATACTGTAAAATATATTATTGTACTTTCACAGTAAATGACTGTAAAATCATTATTGTACAGTAATAAAGATAAAAACCACAGTAATGTGTCGTGTTTTCAGATTAAAGTCACAAGATAATAATATAATAATAATCTGTGGTTACAGTAAATTCACAATAATTTACAGTAATATTACAGGTTAACACAAACACACACACGCTACTGTAAAATATATTTATTCCTAAATTACAGATCACACTGTAACCTAATCACAATAATTAGTAGCCAGTAAATTCCAGTATGTGCACGACATTAAAATATTGTAATTAAACTGTATTTTTACAGCATAAGTTTAGAGACTAAAAGTCTTTTTGTATCAGGTTGTAAACATTTATTTTTATTTCTGCTGTGAACTTGAGCATTTTAAAATGAGGCCTAATGAAGATTGACTCACTGGAATAAACACGAGGCCCTTTACTAAAACCAAGAAATGAACACAAATATTTCCATTAAACTCACATCCATTAAAACATTAACTAATTCATTAACTAACATTATTTATATAATGTTTGTTGGTCGAGGCCTCGTGGCCTTCAGAGGCCTCAGTTGCAGCGTGAGAGCCACGTTACTGAAAGCAGCTCATAACCTCAAAACTACGTTTCAGGCAGAAAACACCGGCAACAGGTCGGTTCCAATTAAAATGTTAAATAATTTAAGACATTTTAAAAATAAAAGCGCTTTAAATTAAATACTTGGAAGCCTTTCTTTTTGATTGTGCCCCTCTCCCCTTTTTAATTCAATAAACCTTCACAGTTGTCCGTTAACAGTGAACAGAAACTGGGACAAACATATTTCTCCTTTATCAATTTGTTCATTTACACACAGCAGTTCAACTAAAAACAGAGACAAGTGGCTCCAACAAACACTCTCAAAACCATCAACAGTTACCAGCTCAGGGCGAAGTCTCGTGGTCGTAGTCTCGTGGTCAGGGGTCGGGATTATAAAACCAAAGATTTCCAATCATAAACAACGTATTTTTGAAAACGAAATCACACTCATAACTCACTCCTATTCTCTAAATAAGAAAGCAATCTTTAACGTCTGCACGCCGATCAGCTGAATAACTGAGAAAGATCTGGCGGGAGGATGTGGCGTCAGAGAAGAAAAAATTCAGAAATGACTCATCGTTTGTCTCACACACACGCTACTATCATATTCGTGTTGTTGGAATTAGGTTGTATTTATATATATTTATGTATTTAAAAAGGTTAGCTAGTGTTGAACGTAGAGGAGCAGTGTGTATTCTCTGTACGCTGCAGATTATTGTTCCTACCTCTTCCTGTGTGTGCAACCACAAACAACATCCTGGTAGCAAATGTGTTTGATGTTGGCAAGAAATTCACCATTAATTCACTCGGCTCGGCCGCCATGTTGGTGAGGTCGACCGTAACTCGCAACTCGCTTAATTCTGAACCGACGCTCAAGGTTTGTTATAAAAGAGAGAAACAGAGTCATCCTGGTCACTGGTAGAAGGAATTAGAAGTAAGTTGTAACTTGTTGTTGCTCGTGTCCGTTGTGTTGTGACTTTTTGCTGCAGTAATGTTGTTGATACCTCTCAGCCACCGTATCATTCAGGGGTAAATAAGGAAGGATTCTGTTCTTTGGGTCGACTTTATTTCAGTGAATAATCTCCCGTAAAAGAGGTTAGAATTGAATATCAATCAAAGATAAAGACAAATAAAGCACAGTGTCCTTTGTAGTAAAACACGCAAAAATACAACACAACGGATCCCGAGCTGTCAGGTATCCACAGTAAACACAGACGGAGGGACGGACACGATCCTCCTTCAGTCGGCCTTCAGGGCGAAGAGCACGTCGTCCTGGCTGACGTTGAGCCGGACACGCTGCAGGACTCCGAGGCGGCTCGGCTCCAGCAGCAGCAACCTGCAGGCTCCCAGACGCTGACACACCGCCAGGCCCTCCGACACGCTGATGGGCTGCAGACCCTCCACCCGACACAGCGCCTGGTGCTGCACAAACACCTGACAGGCAGAACACAGGGGGAAGAGAGCATTCAGTCAGGTTCTGAGCTTAAAGAGGAGGGCTCGATTAACCCTTTCTGATCCCTCACCTGTTGGAAGGTGGCCTCCTCCAATCCCAGCCGCCGAAACTCAGCGATGACCGACCGGAGGAAGAGCTGCTCCTGCACCGACGCACACCTGAGGACACACAGCAGTCACGTTATCTCGCTGCCTTTACAGAACCGTCAGCGCTTTAATGCGGCCGAGGCGGGAATCTCACTTGATGGCGGTGATGTAGGCGGAGGAAAACATCTCGTTCAGCGCCTCCATCACGTGACTCATTCCCACCAATCCCGTGGCAGAAGGGTCGGCGGCGGAGTGCTCGCAGATCTCCGTCGCCCGGCGGCAGATGTCCAGACATCGGCGAGCGTCGCCCGACAGAGCGGCCACCTGCGAGAGGAGAGGGAGAGTGTGAGGGAACGGTGGAAACGAGGCTGAACCCCTCGGAGAGAGTTTCAGGAGCGGAGCATCTTTAAAGCGTGTAGCCCGTCATACGTTGTTTACTTGTTTACAAAACTGTTTCTCTGCTTAAAACCTCCTCCTCCTCCTCCGACTGACTGACTGACTTCTGGTCTGGTGCCACAATGTTGATCCAATGTGTGATTATTAGTATTTTATTTTGAAAATTTCTCCCGCTGTACTGGTGGACGGTAATTGAGAGAAATTTTTTTTAATTCCATTTGAATTGTCACATGAATCATTACACACATGACGTTTGTCCATTTAAAAGAACCTTTTCCAAGTTAAGGAAGTTGCAGTTCGTTGTATGACTCTTTAAAATAAGTAATTAAAACAACCAAAAGTCCCGCAATCGCCTTCAATAGAGGCCGCAATGTTTCTACAGTAGCCCAAAAGGGACAAACTAAACACTGGCTCAGTAGTTTCTCCTTCACACAAAGGGAAGGTGTACGGAAGCATACAGTCACTTGAAAATGTATTTTTTGGTTTGTTTTTTAGACTAATGAGTTCAGAGCATTTGAAACAATAGACGC